TGCGACTCGGCCCGCGGGGGCTCCGGGACGAGCCGTGAGGACCGAGGGGCGTGCGGGGCGCGCCTGCAGGGCCGGGGCCCGGGCGCGGTCCCGTCGGGCGGCCGGACCGGGGAGCGAGGCCGCCGGGACCCGGCGTCTCCGAGGACTGCAGGGTCCACCGAGCGGGGGACCAAGGCGTGAGGGCGGGAAGAATCTCGGGAGGGCTTCCAGGCGCCCTGGTCACAGATAAAACACCCACAGCAGAGCCCGGGGCACGTGTCAGAGCCCGGCCTCTCACCCGTTTAGGGACAGTTACCTAAAAAAGCATTCAGACTCCACGCCCTTGGAGCGTTAACCCGGTGACACCACGTGGTGATAACAGGAGCTGCCCTTCACCGGGCAACCGCCGCGTGCCGGGTTGCGCCAAGAGTCCTGCACGCACCAGGCAGGTGTTAACATCACCATTTCGCAGTTAAGAAGACTGAGGTTGGAGGGTTAGACAAGGTGTCTACGGTCACATCAGTGCACTCGGAACCCACGCTCTGGCTCTCCCAGACTCACACTGGGAGTGGTGGGCTGGCTGTGGGGACAGAATAGGAGGTGGGCGGTAAATGTGTTACTGAACAATTCAGAGTCACGCTAAACTTCCACTAACCTTTCAGAATGAGCAGAAACCGACATCCAGCTTAGACGCTAAGCCTCAGAGGAAAGAAAATGGAAACAAAAAGAACCAGCAACGTGCAGATTTCCAGGTACTGTCCAGGGGCAAGGCTGCAGCCTGAGCCTCTGCACGTGTGATCTGATACAGTTGTGGCAGTGGTGGCTGTCGGCGCCTGGAGCCACAAAAGTGTGAGTTCTGTGACCACTCCCCACATTCTGATTTCCTGATCCTCCAGCTTCCCTTGAGACGTGTGTACAGAGGGTGCTATCCTAGCAGCGACACTGGTACTGCTGATGACTGACAGGCACATGTTAAAAATCCAGCCCCCGTGGGGCTCACACATGTGCCCTGGCTTACTGGTGTTCTGTGTCCACTTCCTGGGTTGTAGGAGGTCATCTCAGCATGAGGGCAAAGTCAGGTGTCAGAGCCTGCAGACTGAGGACCAGATGCTGGGCAGGCAAGTTTGCCACTGGGTAACTTTCCGCCGGCTTCTCTGGGACCTTCTCGGTGGCCCACACCCTGACCAGAGCATTTGGCCACGATCTGGGTGAAGGTAATGAAACCATGAGGTTTGGGTAATCAAGAAAGTGGCTTACAATCTCTGAAGATCACAGAAGCCTGTGTATTCCACC